TGTCTGTCTGTCTGTCTGTCTGTCTGTCTGTCTGTCTGTCTGTCTGTCTGTCTGTCTGTCTGTCTGTCTGTCTGCCGTGTGTCTGACTATGTTTTTTTAAAAATGTGTGTTTGAGTAGAAGTTCATCGAGTTTGAAGACACTCACGAGCAGGAGAAGAAGGATCTGCAGAACGTCGTAGACAGAATGGAGTCTCACTCCCGTCAGGTTGAACTCAAGATCAAGAACTATGCAGACCAGAGTAAGCGTACCTACACATACATACAGTATCTTATTGCCCCACAAAGAAACTCCATTAAGAGTTTATTTACACTTTAATTTAGTAGTTCACAAGATGTATGTTAATGTCTAAATGTATGCAGATAATACTGCAGTGTCTAAGTCTTAACCCTCAAAACAAATCATACACATTCACATAGTGTATACCAACATACACACTATTCTTACTTTAATAGGAGGAACACTAAGAAATTCTAGTATTTGGGTTATTCCTAACTTCTGACAGCATTACAGCTTATTTTACTGGTGAATTAAGCAGTGCAGGCAAAGAAACTGGCTCCTAAATTTGGTCCTGTTGGAAAATGTGGGTTCACACACGGACTGGTTTAGTCTCAGAGCAACAAAAAAAGCAGAGCTGGTTAAAATGAGTCATGCACTTAAAGCTGAAAAGTGGAAGAAAAACGACCTTTTCCTCATATTTTCATACACGTTTTTTTCTAGAATTTAAAGAAGAGCACAAAAAATACATACACTTTATACAAAAATAGGTTGGGAGTTGATTCAGTTTGGTAAATGACATTTAAAGGGTTTGGCTTGTCAGTGGTGGTTGAAATGAAATCCCTGCCACTCCCTGAGGTAAATCATTCATTCACTCCTGCCTGTTGAAGCACCTGATCTGATTTCTTATAAAGTCATAGTCCAAACTGCTGCTAAAGAGTTCATAGGACCATCGTAGGAGGATGACTGTAGCTTTTAGCTGCCTGGGAATAAGTTTACATTCATGAATGTTAAAAAAGACTAGAATCAGTTGTATTGTCTGTTAATAAGAGCTGATTTAATCAGACATAAATTATGTATTTTCATGTAAGTTCCACAAAAATCTCATAGTCCAATGTTTGCCTGAATTTTTTCTTTAATCATTATGTGTATTGCTAGGTTCTCTCCGGGTTCTCTCCGGGTACTCCGGCTTCCTCCCACAGACCAAAAACATGAGGGTATAGATAACGGATGGATGGATGGTTTATGTGCAGAGTTGCACATAAGTGGTGCGCAGGTGCGCATGCAATATCCAGAAAGAAAAAGCGCACCATGTTATAAAGCTTCCTTGAGTGCCTAAGATAGTACCTGAAATTGTGAAAACAACAGCTAGCAACCTGATTTCTTAAACACAAACAAAACAAAACAAAAAAATCCAGCCTCACTGGTGTGACTGGATCGTTATTCTGTCAGAGGAGGGCAGCGGGGCCCTGATGTAAGGATTAAATGGACACTGCTTTTAACGAATCAGACAAACTCCAGAGCTGTTTTATCCAATCAGAGCAGAGCAGGACGGGACTTTCAGTGAGAGCAGTTTTCAGCAGAGACAGTGGAAGCAGCAGCT